CACTTAAACTTACAAATGTCTTAATACCCAGCATCACCTCAAGATTAGAATCTCTTGGCCCAGCCCCGAGGCACAGTAGTATTGCAAGCGCCCTGCAGGGCTGAAAGCCATGTGATCTACCATGAGTTTGGGTCCCCATGCCAGCTTTAGAACCACACTGGGTGCATGTGCAGATGTCCAGGATCCTGAGGAGCTAGAGCACTGGGAAGAAGGGACCACAGCCTAATGAGACTCTGCAGGGAGTGTTTCTCTCTCTCTCTTTCTCTCTCTCTCTTTTTTTTCCTCTTGCCTGTGTATCTCTATCCTTGGAAAAGAAAAAGAGAAAAAAAAAGATTAGAATCCCTGATCTTCAGAGAAGTTAGGCAACTTTCCCACGTTCACACAGCTAAAATGTTAGAAGTAAGATCAGAACTAGGTTCTCGCTCTGAAAAGCCCATGGTGCTCTGTGCACTGTCTCGTGCTTATCAAGGTTTTCCCCCTCAGTATATATTTAATTTATCTGTATTGGATTACAGAGATGATACTAAAAGCAAGCAGTCTTATACTCCATAAACAAATTCTGGAATGGCTTTTTTTATTTGTATCATTAAAAAGTTTGCTTTTAATATTCTTTCTGTTTAAAACAGTTCTCATTTCATCAGCCCTTTGTAAAAATGATCACTTTTTTTCAGATCACAAATGTGATTTGAAGCAGCTCTTGAAATCTTAATAACTGCTTGTCCCAAATACTGAACAAGTCTTGAGGGTACTCAGCTGGAATTTTGTTTCCTCTAAAATATTTCCTATCATCCTATCTCCCACTGACCAACATTTAGTGTTATTTCAGGAGAGTTTGACATTTCCTTTTGATAGAACAACAATGTTCCTGTATTACTGCCTAGCCTAGTGGTTTTAGTGTTATTAGATAACAAGACTAGCTGTTAAAATTCTAAATCTCAACAACACTTTGACTACCTCGTCCTTTTCCCATTTCTAAAGTGTACAACTTTCAGATAAAAGCTTTTGCTGGAGCACTGATGAATCACAGAGATAAACAAGAAAACAGAATCAGCATTCAATGACTTTTGCTTCAGATTGTTATGCCATTGTTGTTTTTTCCCCAGCATTTACTATAGGTACATGCACTTGTCAGTGAAATACAGAGAGAGAGAGACAGAGACAGAGACAGAGACAGAGAGTAATCACCCCCGAGGGGGGATTACCACATAGCAGTTCCTTCTCCTCCACTATCTTCTCAGGATCCTGAGCACACATGGCACACTCTGTCACCATGTTTCCTAAGCCACTAGGTTGAGGGTGTGAATCACATAGTTGGCTATGTGGGATCCAACCACCCTAACCACCACATTAGTGGCTGACTAGTGGACTGTTCTTTTAAAAGTCGGTGGAAGAGGAGATAATCTGAATTTGGGGGGACCAGTAGATGTGTAATGGTTATGTCACTGGATTCCCACGTAGTTGACTATGAGTCATGACTTGGACCCAGTGGCTTAAAATTCATTCCAGGTGCATGTGTGTGCATACCCAAAAGCCTGAGAAGAGAATGGAAGAGAAGAGATTGTAGTGTAGCCATCCTTTGTGCGGTAATTTCTTGCTTTCTGTCTCTCTGTCTCTGTCTCTCTGGTGCATGCACATACCTTATAGCAAAAATCTCTCTCCAAAAAAAAAAAATATCTGAACTCGGAGATGAATGTATGCGTTGCTACCTAGTACACATGGTTATCTAGTCCAGCGTATCTGGAAATACCCTCTATAACATTCTACATTTCCAAGTGCATTTGTGATTACATATTGCATTTAAGTTATTTATCCTAGAACCTTAAACTTTTCCTGGCAGTTTCCTTTTTTAGCTCTATTTCAGTTGTGAGAAATTTGCCCATATTTTTCCAAAGACCTCAGTCACATGAGATATGAAGTCATTGGACTCCATAGCTGATTGTATGTGGGTCGTACTTTTGAGGATATCACGGGACATGATAATACAAAATCCTTCCTTGAAATGTTAAGTTCTAGAGACAAAAATCTATTTCCACCATGCACATGAAGCTAATAGATTGCTAGTTTCTAGCAGTTCCCAAACAGTAGAGACTATTGCTTTGGAAAACACTGGGCTTACCTGGGGTTTTTGTGGAAAGAGGAAGTACATGCCAAACATTCTAACTTTATTTTAAAGAGAGATTTTTGCTATAGAGCATGTGCATTCACCAGAAAGACAGATAGAGACAGAAAGTAAGAAATCACCCTCCAGGGGGATGGCCATGCCACAGTCCCTTCTCCTCCAGTCTCCTCTTGGGATTTTGGGCATGCACGCAGATGCACCCGGAGTGAGTTTTAAGCTGCTGGGTCCAGTACTTGAACCATGGTCAACTACGTGGGAGTCCAGTGATGTAACCATTATGCCAACTGTTGGTCCCTGTTTTTATTTTATTTTACTTTTTTTATTGCAAGGTCTCACTGTTGTCATCCTCCTGCCTCAGGCTTACAGCTGAGAGCACAGGTGTGTGCTCGTGCACTTGGTTCTTTTATGAGACATGGTCTTTTTATGTTGCCCAGGCCAGCCTTGAGCTTATGATCCTCCTGCCTAAGCAGGTGAGGGTTCCAGGCACACGACGTCTGCAAAGTTCAGTACCTTAGCGCACATACCACCATAGCTGGGCATCTCATTCTTTTTGATCTGCCTCACCCTGGCAGATACTCCCACCTTTGAATTCTGTTGTTTTAAAAATTTTATTATTTATCTAATTATTTATATATTTATTATTTTTACTATGGGATGTGTGTGCTTAACCAAATACAGAGATGGGGGGAGGGGAAAGAGGGTAAAAGCACCCCCCAGAGGTGTGATCACACTGAAATCTCTTATCCTCTATTATCCTCTTGGGATTTTGGGCACAAATGCACACGCAACTAACATATTTTTCAAGCCATTTTTCAAGATTCCATTGTGGAGTCAGTCATGTGGCATCCTGCCTCCTTATTCTCCACATCACCTGCTGGCCCTAGAATTCTGTCATTTTCATATCAGTTTGACTTATATTGTGTAATGGTTTCCCTGTGATAATATAGAGGCATACTGGGTTCTAGGATATTAAGAAACAGAAGGAGCAGAGTCTTATCTAACATGTTTTCTTTGGAAATATCCCGGCAAGGTAGAGATGCTTAGACATGACTTTATGTGCTCTTACCAATGTGGAACAGAAGGAGACAGCATGTGAGAGCACAGGAAATGACAAAACAAAGATTTAACCCTTCTGACTCTGGGTGAACCATTTCACCTACTATATTTAACTATCACAAAACAAAATTAAAAAAAATACTATCACAATGACTCCTATATGGGGGGTCACAAACCTTCCCTTCACAAATCAAAGGACTTGGAATTAATTATTCTCAACTGTTTCTCAGATTGAGAGAAATGTTTACAATAATCATAAACCAGGGAACCAGCAATTAGCGTAATGGCTATGTCGCTGGACTCCCACGTAGTTGACCGCGGTTCGTGTTCCAGACCCGGTGGCTTAACACTCACACCAGGCACATGTGCATGTGTGCCCAAGATCCTAAGAGGAGAATGGAGAAGAAGGGATTGCGGCGTGACCATCCCCCCTGGGCAATGATTTCTCGCTTTCTGTGTCTATGACTCTCTCTGTCTGTCTGGCGAGCGCATGCGCCCCAAAATGAGAACCTCTCCAAAAAAATAAAAAATAAAAATAAATAAAAATAAATAAAAATAAATAATAAACCAAAAGGGATATTTGTGTAAAACTCACTAAAAATGAAATGAAAAAATATACAGCAGCTATTCACAGACGAGAATACTTTTCTGACTATCCCAGCACTCAAGAGTTAAAAAAATAGAAAATATACATAAATTCATAAATCAAGTGTCTTTAAATTTCATCTCCAATTAATTGTCCAGGTAAGTGATCCTGTACTGAGAAGAAAACTTAGACAACTGAGCCTTGTGTGTAGTGCAAACTAGGTCCCTTGGTGCACGTTCACTGCTCATTTGTATTAAACCACATGGAGAAGGGGTTTCTATTTAGAGTATAAAATCATTAACTAATTGCACATCCGTCATCATTGCTGATGGTACAGGACTCCTCATTCCTCATGTCCATCTGCTGTAAGATTTCTTCCCATGAAACAATTCCTTCCAGTGTAAGTAGCTCAGAAATCCTGACTAATTTATTAGAACTTCCTAAATAATTAACAGACTAGTGAGATGGATAAAATACTTTTTCATAATAGGTAGCTTTCCCAAGAAGGGTGAAAAGTGTGTTTTCTTTAGAAATTGTACAGCATGCAAAACTAAAACTGGCCAAATTTTTATTCTTTTAATTATGAGGGGACTTCAAAAAGTTCACAGAAAACTAGAATTGAAGCATAACCTTATTTTGGTGCAAAGAAACATTGAAATCCATAGAGTTTTTAATAATATGCATTTTGGAATATTTGAAGACTCCTCTTACTTGCATGCTGAATTCTTGGAAAGAGTTGGCACGTAATTAAAAACCCTAACCTGCAGCCGTTATTGCCAATGTATTTAATCCTTGAAGGAAGGAGCTAAAATAACCTTCTCCAAGTCATAATTTATTAACGAGAATCAATTCATCACTTGGTTCAGACACATTACTTTAAATCTCACTTTACATTTGACAAGAAGTACCTGATCAAAATAGAAGAGACACCCTCTCAATACTTTTATACTGTCTACTAGAACATTATCAGTTTTTCTTTGAGGAAACATTTACCTAACATCCTTTGTATCTTTCATCCACTAGTTTCAAAAATGCCTGGTCAGACAAACCAGGGCTAGCAGAAATAACACCTTAATACCCATCTTGCTACATTTGATTTTCAAGGCACATTTGATTCAGTATCCAGGGAAATTGGTTTGAAATTGTCCTTTGCTTTTCTCCTTTTGATCTCACTTGCTGATGGCTTAGCAATTTTTCCACCCAGTGGTCAGTTTCCAGAAAGGAAGGGTAGAACCTCAAATGAGAGCTGTCCTCATCCAAGGTGCTGAAGAACACTCTGCGGCGTTCTGCTACCAGGTGAATGGGTCGTGCCCCAGGACAGTCCATCCTCTGGGCATCCAGCTGGTGATCTACCTGGCCTGTGCAGCAGGCATGCTGATTACAGTCCTAGGGAACTTGTTCGTGGTGTTCGCTGTGTCCTACTTCAAAGCACTACACACTCCCACCAACTTCCTGCTGCTTTCCCTGGCCCTGGCTGACATGTTTCTGGGGCTGCTGGTGCTGCCTTTCAGCACCATTCGCTCAGTGGAGAGCTGCTGGTTCTTCGGGAACTTCCTCTGCCGCCTGCATACCTACCTGGACACCGTCTTCTGCCTCACCTCCATCTTCCATCTCTGTTTCATTTCCATTGACCGCCACTGTGCCATCTGTGACCCCCTGCTCTATCCCACCAAGTTCACGGTCAGGGTAGCCTTCAGGTACATCGTGGCAGGGTGGGGAGTGCCAGCAGCGTACACTGCCTTCCTGCTCTACACAGACGTGGTGGAGAGAGGGCTCAGCCAGTGGCTGGAAGAAATGCCTTGTGTGGGCAGTTGCCAGCTGCTGTTTAATAAGTTTTGGGGCTGGTTAAACTTCCCTGTGTTCTTTTTCCCCTGCCTCATCATGATCAGCTTGTATGTGAAGATCTTTTTGGTTGCTACCAGGCAGGCTCAGCAGATCAGCACCTTGAGCAAAAGCTTGTCTGGGGTTGCCAAGAGGGAGAGGAAAGCTGCCAAGACTCTAGGCATTGCAGTGGGCATATACCTCTTGTGCTGGCTGCCCTTCACCATAGACACACTGGTCGACAGTCTGCTCAACTTTATCACACCTCCGCTTGTCTTTGACATCTTTATTTGGTTTGCTTACTTCAACTCAGCCTGCAACCCTATTATCTATGTCTTTTCTTATCGGTGGTTCAGGAAGGCACTCACACTCATCCTGAGTAGGAAGATCTTCTCACCACAGACACCTACTATTGACTTGTACCAAGAATGACTCCTACTAAACCAGGCAGGGGGTAGGATTGCATGGCAGGATGCATGGTGCCATGGCTGTGGAACGAGGAGTTGGTGGGTCTGTTTCTAGGGAACCATAATTTAAATGGAGGAGAAAACCAAGCTTCCAAATATGAAAAGAGGCAAATAGCTCTCCTCATTCAATGTTTCCATATTAAGTGTAGGAAAAAAAGAAAAGAGAATACAAAATATTTAGAGACTATAAGAGAATAATTAGAGAATGTAAGAGAATATTTATTGCCTAAGACAAAACACTGACAAAGTTTGGCTCCTAATTACCAAAATGCAGAGATGTAGGAAAAGAGAGAGGAGGTCTGGATTTCTGGTTCTTTCTCTGGTTCCATCTTGTGGAGGCCGCTGGGTGAGACATCAGCAATTCTGAATCCCCCACACCTACTGACAGAATTTCCTGTTCTAGAAAAACAGGGATTTCTACTGCTTCTTTTGTAAAATGTCCTTAAGTTAAAATATTGTATAATCCAACTTTGGGAAATCTTGTTTGAGTCACAGTGTCACGTCCCATTGCATAATCATTGTCAAGTGTTTTGAATGCCTCTATCAAAATGCTCATTTTAGAATGTTAGTCTCTTGAAACCCACTTAGAATTGTAATTCAGGTTTGTTCATTTCAATGATCGCTGAGTAAATACATTATATTCTTGAAAGAATATTTTCTTCTTTCCTTTGTAAAATAATTGAAACTTGAAAAAGCCTGGAATATTTTATTAAGTGAAAATTATTTGTATTTCATCATTTTATAATAATATCTCACCCTTAAATTTTTATCCTACAGTTAGACCTACTGTCTTTCTGGAAAGTCAGTACATGATTTCATATTGAAAAATAAACATCTTGCCACATGCTTGCTCAGAATCGAACCTAATGTTTCTCAGCCACTTTTACTAGTAAAAGTACTAACACTGCTTCTGTGTTTTTCCTGAATATTTCCCTATAGACCTCCAGTCACCTGGCTTTCTTATTTCTTGCTACCTTTTTAAAATGAATAATTGCTTATTTAGAAAAATTCTTTGTAAATTATCTGAATTCTCTGAAGCATAAATGCATAGATAAGTATAAATACAGATACGGCTGCTGACACAGATGTATCAGTCTATATACGCAGACAGACCATAAAGGAATGAATGCGTTTCAGAAACAATTAGAAGACATCTGTGAGCATTCAGAGAACTAGTCCTTACACAAATTACTTAACCATTCCCATGTCAGTAATGATCTTTAATGAAGTAAAAGTCTTCCTTTGTCAGTGAAGTCAGCTGTAATGTTTATTCAATATATATGTACGTATATGTATACATACACACACATATATATATAGATAACCTTTACTCACTCTCCCTTTCAATCAATGAATTAATCAAATGAATTAATCAAATGTTAAGGCAAATGTTCTTAATTTTTGGTTCCATGAACTCTTTTGCCACTAATAAATATCAAGGACCACATGTCTGAAAAAGGTTTTTAAGTGGAAGACATTTTTAAAAATGTAATCTTAAAGGTAAATTTATTATTTTAAATATCTTGATCAAAATATCTTAGAAATAGCCAAATACATCTGCTGGCAGGTACTATAAAATGATATGATTTCAAGAAAATGATGAGTATAAATGAAATCACACAATATCTGCATCTATACTGCCATATGAAAATATTAATTTTAATTGGTTGCAGAAGTCTGAGGTAATGCCAAAATGTGGGTTTTGTCTACATTCAAAGCAAAAAGCAGTGCTATAATTTCAGGTAGAGGTAAGTAAATATAAAAATAGAGTATCTTTCTCTTAAGGTTTATAGACACTGTGGTATGAGAATTTCCTTTAAATATAAACAACTGGAACTAGCTTCGCAGTCACAATCATTACTTAGTGTTTTTGTGCTTGCCTTGCATCTTTTCTTTTCTTTTCTTTTCTTTTCTTTTCTTTTCTTTTCTTTTCTTTTTTCTTTTCTTTTCTTTTCTTTTCTAACTTTTTGTTCTTAGGGGCCAGCAGGTGGTAGGGTGGTTAAGGCACTGGATTCCCTCATGGCCAACAATGGTTCAAGTCCTGGACCAGACAGTTTGTTTTCTCATTTTCCTTCTTTCACTCTCTCTCACTGTTTCTCTCTGGTGTGCACATGTGTCTTCTAGCAAGCTGAATACAAATAATAATAAACAAAATTAAATAAATAATTTATAAACAAAATAAAACAAAAAATTATTCCATAAAATATATCAACATAGTTTCAAATTCCAGAATGAATTTCTCCTGATTTGTATAAACCTTGACAATTATGTTTTTCCTCTCAACATCTCTCCACTTAATTATGTGCTTTCTTACAACTTAGTCAAACCACATCATAGCTCTCCGCAGCAGCAGCGTGAGTGACTATGTAATACACGGAAGTGCATATATGCATATGAGGATAAATAGATGACCTATAGGCCATCTATAAGGACAAGGGTTCTGATCAAGGCAATTTCTATAACAATGATTCATGTGAATTGCTTCTGAATATTTCCTGTTTTATAAAAGTGGTTTTTAAAGGAGCAGCTAGAACTAGGAAGTGAAACGAAGCAGAGTGAGAAGATCGAGCCGTTTTTCCTTTGCAAAGTTTCACAGTTTGTATTGTTGGTCTCTGGATTTCTGATGACTGCAGTCAGAGCTGTAGGGGAAGTCTCTGATAAACAAGTGAGAAGGGGTTCCCTACTCTCAGTGCTGCTGTCACAGTTGGCACTGAGAGGTCTGTCTTCCAGATTCCCACCTGTATTTCATGCTCTCCACCCCTGCACTTTCCCCTGCTCTCTATTCCCCTACTAGGAGCAAATGTGTCCCATCCATTGACACTGGGCTTGGCTGTGTGACTTGCCATGATCATTACAGTCTGGGCCCATGTGACACCACATTCAGAGAGAAGCTTTAAGTGTAATTGCGTGGTGCAGCCCAGTTCTGGGACTTTGGCCCTCTGCCAGAAGGATGGAGTGTCTCCATTGCAGCTGCTCCTTCAGCCTGTGTTCTAGAATGAGAAGACATGAAGAAGAACAGATCTGCCCTTAATCCACAGTCAGAGCAAACTGAGGTCATCCATGTGAAAGTCCAGCACTTTAGCCAACACGCCACCATCCAGATCCAGTATTCTGTGATTTTTGACATCAAGCTTTAAGTGACAGGTACCACTTAGTTAACTGAGGGGCCCTGCTCTGTATTTCTAGGTTCTGATAACTCTATTGTACTACTCTAGTTCCCCACACCCGGGGGTGGGGACGGAGTTAGGAGTGGCGGTATCAGTGGGAGTGTGGTTACTATTAGTGTTAACCTCAGTCTTTTCTGTTTGTTCATTGTTGTTCTTCAGTGTGTGTGTGTGTTTAGCCCTCTAATAACTCTTAAAACAATTTGTTTTTATTATTGTACATTGACAGTTTCATTGTTTGTCTTCCTGACTAGACCCTGACTGAAGCAGTCAAAACTTAAAATAAAAATAAACTCTGAAGTTATTAGTTCTGTATTTGGGAGCAAATTTGGAAAAAAATTTGCAATGAGCAGAAAAAGAACCACTTGGCTTCCTCTGGTCATCCCCATCAACCATGACCTTTAATGTCATGAAAATAATCCTTAGGAAATACAATAAAGTTTGTTTTTTACCAGTTGGTTTCAATCTGAATAAATTGATTCTGTTTTAATAGATAAATCAGTTTTGACGTGCTCCATAGCATTGTGTATCTAAATATAACAACTATGGGGAACAGCAGTTAGTGTAATGGCTATGTTGCTGAACTCCCATGTAGTGGACCATGGTTCGCGTCCCGGACCTGGTATCTTAAAACTCACACCGGGTGTGTGTATGTGCATGCCCAAGATCCTGAGAGGAGAATGGAAGAGACAGGATTGGCAGCGTGGCCATCCCCCCGAGAGGTGATTTCTTGCTTTCTGTCTCTCTGTCTGTCTGGCAAGTGGCCCCATATAGAAAAACCTTTAAAAAAAAAAAAAAAAAAAAAAAAAAAGAAAGAAAGAAAGAAAAAAAAGAGAAGTAAAAAAAAATACCTAATAACAGTGTGGTCTTGATGTGGGATAAAATTACCAACCTATACTAGTTGAAGATTAGTACGTGGGGCCAGGACACGTTAAGGATCATATTCTCCAGTGATCCTGAAAATACCCACATGATGATGGAAAGATTCACTTGTCACTTGGTTGTTTAATATTGTTTCCTACTTTTTGATTTGGCCAAAGATCTTTTGACCTTTATTTAGAGTACTATAGAGTTAAAGCACTGTAATGGGGGGACCAGCAGATGGCGAAGTGGTTACGTCATTGAACTTCCCCATGGCCAGCCATGGCTCAGTTTTGGACCTGGTGGCTTGAAACTCATGCTTGGCATATGTGCGTGCGTGTGCAAGATCCCAGGAAGAGAATGAAGGAGAAGGGATTGTGGTGCAGCCATCTACCCGGGGAGTGGGGGTGGTTTCTCACTTTCCCTCTCACTGTCTCTGTCTCTGTCTCTCTCTGGCAAGCACATGGGCCCTATGGTAAAAGCCTCTTAAAAAAAAAAAAAAAACTGCAATGTGAAGAAATGTCATTGACTCATGCCTGATAGGAAAAGGAAAAAGTAAAAATAAGTCAACTTTTTACCAGAGATTAAAGAATTCACTATTAGAAAACTTCATTTAGCATGTGGTGCAAGCATAACTTGGATTTGACTTAAATTTTCCATTCCCTTTGTTCCTTTCCTTTTTCTCTTCTTTTCTTTTCTTTTCTTTTCTTTTCTTTTCTTTTCTTTTCTTTTCTTTTCTTTTCTTTTCTTTTCTTTTCTTTTCTGGGGACGTCTTTGGCCTGTGTGTGGCTGGTCCATGCTGTCCCTAGAGGTCATAGACAAGATATCACAAATCCGGTTCGTCCTCCTGGAGCCAACTCTCTGGTGATTTCCTGAGATCCCTGCACTGACAGCGCACTACAGGTTGTGGAAGGACACAAAAGCAGGACACGGGGAAGGC